CTGAGCCATGCACTACGTTAGCCAGCGTCTGCTACTGAGTCAATGGCAGAAGAGGAAGCCCAGAGCAGGGAAGCGTACAGGAAGACTGGGGAGACCTGCTCACCCTACACTGACAGGCTTATAAGACACCGCCATTATACTCATTGTCACTGTTGTCCTATCTGCATCAGAGAGACTGGTTGGCCCATGTCCTATCACATGGGTTCCCACAGCATGCATCTATAAAGCATGAGCCCTTCTCGCTCCAGAAGACCAGTTCCTGAATGCCTGCAGAGACCAAGATCCACAGGTACTCAAACCCCTGCTCTAAAATTGTATAGTACTTGCATAGACCGCCATATGCTTCCTCAAGAATAATTTTCAGGCATGTCCAACCTGTGGCCCATAGGCCGCATGTGTCCCAGGATATCTGTAACGATGGTCCAGCATTTTTGTAGATGACAATGTCGTATTGCAATGTTGGGCCCTTGCATCATTCTAAGTAGCTTGTGGTACCCAGTACAATGCCGATGTCCTACAAATAGTTTTAAGATTGCATTGTTTAGGAAGTGATGACAAGAAAACAAAGTCTGTGGGTGTTCAGCGCAGACACAGTTTGTCCATTTTCCAGCTGCAGTTAATTGAATCCATTAGAGGAAGCAGAACTAACAGATGTAGAGACACAGCTTCATTTTTTTAGCCACTATTAAAAGCTGCTGGAGACTACTGGAGTATGCACAGTCTCTGCTCGTGTTAAGAGCCTAGTGCACATACTCACACTGAGTGCTGGAAGCTGAGGTGAGCATGTCCCTTCTGAAAAGCCAGGCAGTAAGCTGGGTAGGTGGGATACAGGGGTATCAGTTCTGAGAAGGTCTCTTCTTGTTCTCCTAGCAAGATACCACCAGGGCAGCCACACACGCAAGTTAACCCAGCTTATACCAGAGGCAACAAGGACACTGACAGAACCACAGTGGGTTCTCTCCTGGGGTAGGAGAGACTTTAACCACATGGGGAGTACAGCAATTTAACTTGTGTCCTTGCAGGCAGGAGCCATCTTTAAAATCAGTCATCTGAAGACTGTGTTATTTGGGGGTGGAGAGAGGTCTCAGCAGTTAAGGGTACTTACAGTTCTTGCAGAGGACCTGGGTTCAATACCCAGCACCCATATGGGTCACAACCATATGCTACTCCAGTTCCAGGGCTCCAATGCCCTGTTCTGACCTCCAGAACTCCTGGATGCCCACGGGACACATTCATACACTCAGGTACATCATTGGTTTTTTAGTTTCTTTTGTGGGGGAGGCTACAAGGGTGGAGGAGGGGGGACATGGAAAGACTGGGAAAATGAGTAGGATTGGAGTGTATGACGTGAAATTCCCAAAGCATCAATGTTTTAAAAATATATAAAAAAGAAAGAAATATACATTATTCAAAATCTAAATCTTGTGTTAAATCAAGCTCCGGCGTCTAAGAGTTCTTTGAAATGAGGGGCCTATTGAGTGTACAGATGCTAGCCAAAGATGAAAGGACCCATCCCAGGGCAGAGTCCCTGTGCTACCAGCAGCTTGGCCCGTTGCAGCTGGGGAAATGCACACAGAGCGAATAAAAGACTGGGTTGTTTTATGATGTAATTACGGAGCGAAGCATAGGTTATTAGGTGAAGAGGAATGGGGCAGGATGGTACAGAGGACAAAGCCTGGGAAGGAGTGGGTCTAGAGGAGGCCCCTGTGCCCCTCCCTCTTCAGAGGGCTCCAAGAGCAGGCACAAGCCCTGCAGCTTTGGGGGTGGGGCCGCAGCACTCAGAAGAGCACCCAGCAGTGTTTGTTCTCTTTGTTGACCCAGCCTGATGCTATCAGTTACAATCAATATGTCTCTTTCCTTCACTCAGTATCTGGTCTGCAGCTTGATTTAGGCCATGGGAATTCCTCCCACTTGAGAACAGGAAAGGGGTGGGGGACCTCAGAGCGCCTATGCAAGAGCTTACTAAAACATAAAAGTGAGTGCTGGGACACACACACACACACACACACACACACACACACACACACACACCTCTCTCCCCTCAGCCTCACCAAAGGTCCTGGAAGGGAGAAGAGCAGGAACATCTCCATCTCAGCAAAGGGGCTCCTCAGTGGTGAGGATTTCCTACATGGGCAGAATTTAAAGGTATTTTTGTGAAAGTAACCTTGCAAAGTTGATTTGCAGACAGCTCCGTCGCTTTCAGGGGGCTAAAAACACTTTAGCTCGGTGTCCATGTGTGTCTGCATCTTTCCCTCACTCTTTCCTGATCTCTTTTTCTGAATACAAAGAAATAGCAAAGGTAGTCACATTTCAGCCAAGACCGGTCTTGAATAATTTAGCATCCAAAGACGCTGTGGGTTGCACACTGAGGGAATGGAGCAATCTCTGGGCCTTCTGAATGTGATGGCCATGGAGGAAGGGGAAGAGCCAGCCAGCACTTGATAGGTCTGAGCTAGACCACACAAGAGAGGGAACGTGCAGAGGTGAGACAGGTCCCCGCTACACAGCTTGTGCAGCCCACCAAGCTGCAACCTACCAGAAAGTGGGCGGCCTCAGCTGCCAGAGGCTACCCAGCACAGAGCAGGTGAACCCCACTTCTGTGGTAGCTGAGCAGCTCTCTTTGTACCGTGCATTTGAATGTTTGCCAGAATGAATTCAATTATTTCTCCCCAGAAATCAGTGCCAATCAATACCATTTCATTGGTGAGTGACCTTTAGATAAACAAGTCTATTAAATATACTCAGCCCAATTTGCCTCTCATATTATGGGGAACGTGGCGCTCACTTACAAATAAAGAGTAGGAACAAGCGGGATGCGGTAAGAGCATTGCTGACTTCCAAATGTCAGAGACTGGAAGAATCATAGGCTGCCTTCAGATCTTGGGAACAAACCCCCACATGCTCACTTGCATGTTATGACGGCGTCTCTGGTGTTTTTTTTCTTGCCTCATCTGCTGGAGGAGGTCACCAGGCCCTACAGGGCCCTGAGCATTCAAGTAAACGCAAAGCTGCCTCTTCTGGCCTCTACTCACCCCACCCCTGCCCCCCCTTCTTCTCTCTTCCTTCCCTCTAGTACCTAGGCTTACTCAGCAGACTCCAAGACTCCTGCACACACATCTCCCTTCCCTTCCTCCTCCCTTACAGATAAGAGAAGAAGCTCAGGGGATGGGGAAGACCTGGCCATAGAAAAACCACACATTAACGGAAGTCAAGGACATCTTAGAGTTCCACTTCAGAACAGAGTCCCCTGAGAGCAAACAAGTAGCCTTGTAATGCAGTCAGGGGTTCGTCTTGACAGTGTAGCTAGTCAGAGGCATCAAATGCCTATTTTGGAAAACTTGCATAGCTTTGCTCAGGAAAACTACACACTTTTTCATGCTTGTTGGTGATAGTATCCATTTTTGTGATTTTTTTTTTCTTTTTTTGAGACAGAATCTCAGGGTCTCACTATGTAACCCTGGCTGTCCTGGAACTCTGTAGACCAGACTGGCCTCTGCCTCCTGAGAGCTGGAACTAAAAATCCACACCACCACGCCTGGCTGCCATTGACATTCTCAAGTCTATGTTTCTCTAACTGGTACTTTATTCACACAATATTGTGTTATTTTTCTTTCCATTTTGTTTTGTTTTAGAGCTGCGCATGAGATTCCCCCACCCCAAGAACAATTATTTATTAGAGATTCCTTTCAGACGCTGACTATGGTTAACCCCCACAGAACTAATTAAAGAGCATAACCCTCAGATACCCAAAGCCAGTGAACCACTGAGCCAGGGCAAGGCCTAGGTGCTCCGAGATATAGATACTATGGTGGCCACTGAGCCATCTGTCCCTCACACTCCCCCTGGACAGAGCTTGAGGGACCAAGAATTAACAGGCCGCCAAGCTTGCAGGAGTCAGAAGAGATTGTCAATGGTGACAACCACAGGTAGCACAGGACCCAGGAGATACAGGACCAGGAAAGGAAGCCTACAGATGGCAAGGGGCTTTATGCCATCAAACTCTTTCAGGGTAGCACCTTGAATGTTATGGAATTCGTGATGGAGAACCTTCTTCGTCCCAGGCCACCCTCTAAAGCAATGACCTGTTTCTCGAGTTATTGTTTGTGTTCTCCCGGTTCAGACTTGAACCTTCATCCCTTTTTGGACGATGGTTCTAGAAGGATAGTAAAAGTTTACTAAACTCCAGGGGGCAAACTTAAGAATGTGGTGGCAGAGAAGGACACAGCTGTCTATCTTTACCCCAGGTGTTCTATAATCACTGTTTAGGGTGGTCTTCCTTCATCACCTTCATCACCTGTTGGGAAAGCAATATCACTGATGGTTTTGGTCTTCAACTTGTTTTCATGGTCAGGTTTTTAACCCTGATCTTCATAAAGGATCCGTGTGCTCAGGTCACACCAGGAAATATTTCTATTCCAAAGTCTCTCTGCTAATGTTTCACTAGGTTATTGCATTTTAAAATATTCAATTGAAACTGTAATTGGAGACCCATAGATGATCTCACCATAGCAGTAATGCTTTCCTTCCTCCCCTCCATACCTCCCTCTTTTCCTTCTGTATTTTTCCAATTTTCCCCATAGGGATGTATTTCTTTTCAGAGCAGGGGTTGAGGGGTGCTAAAATGTCTTGTTAGTGAACTGGGGGAACAAGAGACCTTATTTTTAAGTGGAGCCGTGTAGTCTGGACCCAGATCCCTCTCATCCTTCACATATTCTCTGGTCCTTCTGGAAAGTGGACCATGCATTTCCCCTGGGATGCTGAGAGAACAAAGGACAGGTAAGGTATGCATAACACATTATGGACTCTGCAGAAGCCGCCCATATTGGGCAACTGGGGACATAGAGATGGAGTTAAGAGACCTTCTGCCTGTTTAGTTAGAAAGCCACCGAATCAATGCAGGGGTAGGTTGTTCCAGGGCCCTATAAAACCACTGCAGAGAACTCATTGAAAAGTCACATCTGTCTCTACCATTGACAATCATGGTCTTGTCTTTCAGAAGGCGGGGTGTTTACGTGGCCTTCTCAGGGATGGAGCCTTTGACTTCCTGAAAAACCATCCCCCGTTGACGTCCTGATCTCTGTCTGTCAGACCTAAAGACTGAAGGGACACCGGCTAACAAGATGGCCACTGCTGCAGAAGAAGGGTGAGTGGGCAACGAACTCCATATCGGTCCTTCTCTGACATGGGACCGCTCAGGTAGGAAGTAGCGTAGTCGTCATGATTCTGCATTCTCAGCCACTGTGCTGGACCCTTTGGGAGAGCTTTTCTCTGGCATTTAAATTTTTCAGAATTATTTACCTCTCTTTCCCTTAGGCCATAGAAGGGTGTTTGTTTAGACCGGTTATTAGATAGCCCCTGATGCCCTCACACCCCAACTTCTCTAGAGAACCAGGTTACAGGCATGTGCCATCCAGGCCCTGCTCACAGAAAGGATGTTCTGTTAACCTGCAGAGTCGTCCCAAAGGCCTATAGAGGAAAAGAGATTGCTATTAAACACGCCTGCCCCAAGCCAGACCTATAAATTAGCATGGTGGGTACTGTGCGTGCTGCCTAACCTGAAGACTGAAATGTCATCCCTGGCACTCAGATGGCGGAATGAGAGAACCGACTCCCAAAAGTTGTCCTTTGATCTCCACGAGCATGTCAAGACACACACACACACACACACACACACACACACACAAGACAAGAAAATATTAAATGTAACTCCCCACACCACATCCCCCCATCCAAGGCATATGCCTAGTAGTGATTCAGTGACCCCAACTACCAGAGCTATCCTGTAAGAAAGAGATCTGTATCTCCCTATTGGTGCCCACTTCCGGCAGTGGGCTGGCCCTAATCATTTCAGTTTCTCTCTGTCCAAACAGAATCCTCACCATCCTGTTCTGAGGGATGCAGACAGGCTTAGGTTATGGGCATACCTATCAAATGGCAACTTATGTCAATAAAAGAGAAAGGTGGAAGTCAAGGGCAGGGGACAAGAATGAGTTAGCCTTGTGGGAAGTGAGAGGATTGGTACTTAAAAAGTCTTTGCATCAGAAACTGGCAGCTTCGAGACTGCTCAGCAAAAATGGCTAAAATCCACAGAACAGTCTCCGGGGAGCCGGGGAGAGGATTCAGAAGGCCCGAAAAGCATTTTGCGCTGCGAGCTGGAACCACGCACGCCACAATCGAGTTATAAATAGATGACAGGCTTTTGTGCTTGTCATCAGCCTCATCCGCTGAGACAACGAATGGATGTATTAAAGCAAGCCTCCATCGTCACCAGATCAGATCACAGCATGCTCAATCACATAAGCCTGGCAGCCGTGCCCTCAGAGGCATCCCCGGAGACACAAACAATTCTCAGGTCCTACTCTGGTCTGCCTCATGTCACAGGCTACGTTAGTCCTCAGTCTACCTACAACTTATTTCTTCTGTTTCTGCAGGTCTAGTCAATCCTTTCTGCTCCTCCTAATGGTTCTTTCTCATCAGACTGCCACGAGCCCAGAGACAATGAAGATGATTGTCATAGAAAATAGCCCATGGGGACGAGTCCTGGGCCTGGTAAGTGATGTTTCAAACCTTTGAAAGCATTAAAAGAAAGTTTACAGAAAAAGGTATCGAGAGATGTGGGGTGAGGGGGTAAAAAAGATTGGAAACATTTTAAAGAAAAAGCAGTGACCCAAGATAAGACCCGTGAGCCATGAGGAAACTTGTAAGATGAGCAAGGATTCCCCTGAGGCAGTATTTCCCCCTACAAAACCCAATGTAAGAACTGAACTCCCTGTGTAAGCTTGAAACCTCCAAAACAAAAATATACCTTAAGTAAAAATGGCTGTTTCGGCTGGAAAGGGGATTTGTAAGAAAATCTGAAAATGTTATTTAGACGTCCAATATGGAGAACAAGAAGACAGAAATATTAGTCATCGAAAGGGTGGATGCCCAGAGGGCCGAGACAGTAGAGGCCATCCACAGCTGAACCTCTATGCAATGGTCAGAAAATAGCGAAGGACAAATAAATTATTCTATGTGAGCTGTAGACACTGGAGACAAAAAGGACTACAGACCTCAAATAACCTGAACACAGAAAACTAAATAGCAACTTCCAGGAAAGATGTAACTAAGATCCCAGCCCCAGTCTTTGCCAGGAGACTAGGAACATCACCATGGAAAAGAAGGCAAAGAACACAAGATGTGGTGGTTTGAATGAGAATGACCCCCACAGGCTCTTATGTTTGAATGTTTGCTCCCCAGCTGATAGAAGCACTTGGGAAGGATGAGGGGGTGTGGCCCCAGTGTGGCCTCAGCCTCCTGCTTGTGAGTAGAACGTGAGCTCTCAGCTACTGCTCCAGACACCTGTCGCCACGCCTTCACTCTGGCATCGTAGACGCTAATCCTCTGGAGGCAGAAGCCCAATCAAACTCTTTCTTTCTAAGTTGCCTTGGTCATGGTGTCTTATCACAGCAATAGAAAAGTAACTAAGACACAAGGCTGTAAGATTTACCTAAATTGGGCAGCATGGTAAGTACGTGCTCACCATTCTTGCTCTAGGGAGGTTGCAGCAGGACCACCGAGTTAAAGGCCAATCTGGGAGAGAAGGTAAGACACGTCTCAAAAACAAATCAAAATAAAAACCCGATAAGGATGAAAACTCCTTCCCAAGGGTGACAATGCTGAAAATGACCGCTAACGCCTCAAAGTTCTGAGTACAGGGAGGGCTTAGCTGTGTGTGAGACCTGAGCTGGTACTGTGGGGAACTAAGATTGGCAAGTGAGTTCCCTTTTGGAGAGTTAGTAACAAAGTAACAAACTAATGCTGAGTGGTAGTGGGTTCAGTTTTCCAAAGATAAAAGCGAGCCAGAGAGAGACAAGAGAGTTGTCGCCTTAGCATCCTCAGAAGAATAACACAGTGTCTGATGCATCTCTTTCATACACACTGTCCCCTTGAACCAGCATTTTCCCCGTGCTATTCACAAGGACTAGTGCACCAACCCCTCTTCTCGGCTACCCAAGTCCCTTCAGTTTACCTGGGGGCTAGATTTCTCCTTCCTTTGAATCTGGACTAGTACCATGATTTCCGTTGCCAGGACACAATGGAACTGTCACTCTGGAAGTTCTGAGATGAGGCCTCACACATGTTCACAATTTCCACGGACACTTTCTGAGGATGTCACCTTTAGCCCAAAGGCTAGAGTGACAGAGGGACCTAACTACCCATCCCTGTCATCAGCCAACCAGAAGCTGAATGTGGCTTCATGAATGAGCCAGGTAAGGCACCTGAAGCTCCATCCGCTCAACAATACATACTTACAAGCCACTGAAATTTTGGTCCTGAGCAAGTAATTTTGTGGTGATTTGGTGTTGTCAAAAAATAAAGAGCTAACCGGGCAGTGGTGGCACATGCCTTTAATCCCAGCACTCAGGAGGCGGAGGCAGACAGACAGATCTCTGTGAGTTCAAGGCCTACCTGATCAAAATAAAACTATATATATATATATGAGTTGACTGATACATGCATACAGACATAACCAATGGGCATCTATGCAAACCTACTGAGGGAGAAACACGACACAATGAAAAACCCAGTAAATAAAAACCAAAGCATTTACACCAAAGAACTCATGCACAGTACCCCCCTCAAGCAGCAGGAGGAAGCACTAGCTAGCACAATACTCACACAGGATTCAAAGTGTACTGGTGCGAAGAGCATGGCTTGGCTGCAGGTCACTTACAGACAGGAAGAAGGGGATAAAATCCAGTTCAAACAAGAAAATAAATTATAACAAAAGGTAACATCCTCTCAGAAATGAAAGTCAAGTTGATTACTGGTTAGCAAAGAAAGAATAGACTCAAAGGGAAATTTTATAATGAGCATTAAATAAAAGAAGGAAAACAGCAAAGAACATAAACAATAAATTAAGAAGAAGAAAATGTTGAAACAGGGGCTTGAGAGATGTCTCAATCTCTGACACTGCTCTTCCGTCAGACCAGAGTTGGGGGCCCAGCACCCATATCTGGAAACGTACAGCCACCTGTAACTCCAACTCCAGGTCATCTGACATCCTCTTCTGGGCCCTGTGAGCACAACACTACACACGACTAAAAACAAAATAAATTTTAAAAGTAAAAAAAAAAAAAAAAAAAAAGCTGAAGCAAGACAAAAATGAGTGTCTGGCATATATACTGACATTTACAAAGGATCATCAGGAGAGTTTCTCCCAAGCTATACTCATGACACAGAGAATGTTCCTCACATTAAACAAAACCTGACTGCACAGTCGGAATAAACAGAGCCTAGTTAAAGCTTTCAGACTTGTGGCAGGCAGTAGTGACAAACGACTTTAATCCCAGCATTCAGGAGGAGAGTCAGGCAGATTTCTAAGTTTAAGGCCAACCTGGTCTACAGCATGAGTTCCAAGGCAATGGTCAGGGCTACCCTGTCTGTTCAGGACAGCAGAGAAACTCAACCTCAAAAATAAAGTCAAACTAACAAAATACCAAATAAAAATTTTAAAAAGCTTTTATTTAGATATAAAGGGAGTCAAGTAACTGACAAGGCAAAAGACTTGGACTGCTCTCTAAGCGTAACATAGAAAAGGCGGCATACAGAAGCAACACTGCAGAGGAAAGCAGAGAGACACTGGGCCAGAATATGAAGGAAAGAGCAGGCAAGAATGAGCCTGCTCTGCTCCTTAGAGACATAAGCTCCAGGGTCTGGGGAGATGGCTCCGTAGGTGAGAGCCCTTGTTGCTCTTTCAGAGAACCTGGCATCACTTCCCAGCACCCACATCGTGGCTCACACAACCATTCAAAATTCTAGTTCTAGGGGATCTGATGCCTTCTTCTGACCTCCTTTGAATATTGGGCATGCATGTAGCACACACACATAGATGCAGGCAAAACAATTATACACAGAAAATCTTTTTAGAAAAGAAAAGCTACAAGCCAGGCAGTGGTGGTGCCCGTCTTTAATCCCAGCACTCGAGAGGCACAGGCAGGTGGATCTCTGTGAGTTCGAGACCAGCCTGGTCTACAAGAGCTAGTTCCAGGACAGGCTCCAAAGCTTCAGAGTAATAAACCCTGTCTCAAAAATCAAAAGAAGAAGAAGAAGGAGAAGGAGGAGGAGGAGAAGGGGAAGAAGAAGAAGAGGAAGAGGAAGAGAGAAGAAAGACAGACAGGAAGGAAGGAAGGAAGGAAGGAAGGAAGGAAGGAAGGAAGGAAGGAAGGAAGGAAGGAAAAACTACAAAAAGCTGACAACCGACAGACATGAAACGCATCATGTACACAAGTGCTCAAGCATGCCATCCTCACAAGGCCCTGAGGAGCATCACAGAAGATGAACTCTTTCTAACTCAAAGCAAAAGGTGCAGCCGTGAGCAGTTAGTGTGTTCAAATGCACACCTAAGGGAACTGTAGTGAAGGTCCATGAGTAGGGCATCCACTGTAGGTTTTGACTAGGTGACATCATCAGCGAGCATAAATGCGAGTGGGGAAAGAAGGTGGAATAAGTTTGTTGATTATTACATAGGTAATAATTAGAAGTCAACAATTATTAGAGATCAGCAAACAAAACAAGACATGGCTGTGTATAACAAACAAGACATTTAGGTTGCATGACCCTAGCACTGGGGATAGGGCAGCAGGAGGGCTGTAAGTTTGAGGCCAGTCTGGGTAACACAGCCGGATTTGGTCAGGAAATAGGGAGGGAGGGAGGAGAAGGGAAGGGAAGGAAAGACAGAGGGAAGAACCTAGCAAACAGGTAAGATGATGTTAAGTGAGAAAATGGAGAGTAAAGACAGTAAGAAGGTCTAAGTACCAAGTACTAGAACAGAACCTGAAGTCATTTTTTGAATTTTATTTTCTGTGTATGGATGTTTTGTCTGCATATATGTATATGTACCTCCTATGTGCCCGGTGCCTAAGGGGGACAGAAGATGGTGTCAGATCCCCTGGGACTGAAGTTATGGACAGGTGTGAGCCACGGGTGCTGGGAACCAAACCTAGGTCCTCTCGGAGAACAGTCAGTGCTCTTAACTGCTGAGACATCTTTAGCTCCCCTAAACCGAAGTCTTTCTTACCATCAGAAATTAAAATCTCAACCATAGCGAAAAATATATGAAGAAACACAACAAACACAAAATAAAATAATTACAGCATAAAATAGCACAATTGAGTTAGGCTTAAATATATTAACTGTATCAATAAATGTGATGGGCTCACTTAACACACTAAAAAGGGGGTTTTCAATTTGGCTCACATAGTAGATTCTTTATATGCTGCCTATAACAAACACATAAAACACAGTGGCTCCAAAGGGTTAGACCAAAGGGAAAGGTAAAGTAAAATAAGACCGCTAATGTTGAGATTATGACATCAAAGCAGGATTTCAGCCCATAAAAGTATTACATATAACAAAAAACATTATAATTCCCAAAGCCTTGACAATGGAGATAGCGAAGATCTGTGCTCCAAATAAACTGTCAGTCACTTTTACAAAGCACAAAGCTATAGGAGATGGAAGGAGAAAAAGACACCAAGCTAATAATAGATCTTATTTTCAATTACCATTCTCAGTGCAAATCAAGTGATATGGGCAAAAATAAAGATGACGACCTAAGCAATGTAACCAATAAGGCAGGATGTATAGGATACATATAAGGATTTTGCACACTGAAAATAATCGACATGCCTTCTGGGCTTTGAGATGGCTCAACAAGTTAAGGCATTTGTCACCACGCCTAATGATTAGATTCAAGCCCAAGACCTCATGGTAGGAGAGAACTGACTCCCACAAGCTGCTCTCTGACCTCCACACATATAATGGTGTGCTCGAGTATGTGTGTGTACGTCTACAATAAATGCATAGGTGTAATTTTAAAATAAAAAATATATTCTTTCCAACTTCATGTAGAACCAGAAAAAGCTGAACACACATTAGGTGAGAAGGGAGAATGAGAGGCTGGGATAAAGTCAGCGGGAGAGTATTGGCCTAGCATGCAGCGGGCTGAGGTTCAGGTCCTTGCAATACACACACACACACACACACACACACACACACACACACACACACTACACACCAGAAAGCTCCATAAAACCATTCACATTCGAGCAGTGAGGAGTGAACAGATGATTCGATAAACTGCTGAATTTCCACAAAGAGAGAGAAAGAAAGAAAGAAAAAGTTTGATTTCTCACATCGCACATAAGTCTGTTTCCATCAGAAAGGCTAAAACCACAATAATGCAATAGATAAGAATGTCCTATGTCTTTGTAATAAAAGCATTTTTAAGAACCATACAAACCCATGAAGGGAAAAAAATAAAGTCCAATGGCATTAAAGCCAAGAACTACTTCTATCCATCAGAAGACGTCATAGGTGGGGAAAACAAGACACAAACTAGGACTGAAATAACCTGCTAAAGCTGGTTATGAACAGCTGGAATATTTGCATTAATAAAAAAAAGAAAACGTGAGGTTTTTTTTAATACTTTGGTTTTTTGTTTGTTTCTTAATTTTACAGATTAATTCTAGTTCTTCCTTCCTTCCCCTTATCCTGCTCCCCACACCTTCCCCTGGCCCGCTCCCATCTCCCCAGAGAAGGTACGGCCTCCCACGGGGAGTCAATGAAGTCTGCTCCATCGCTGCATTGAGGCATGACCCAGGCTCTTCTGCCGTGTTTAGGCTGAGCAAGGTGTCTCTGTCTAGGAAATGGGCTCCAAACAGCCAGTTCATGTACTAGGGACAGATCTGAAAACGCGAGTTTTAAAATGAGCACCACCAGGAGACACCACTGAGAACCAACTAGATGACCAACAGTCAATGGATCTCTTGTTGAGCGTGCCAGTGTGGTTCTACGGCAGGAACATGGGAAGAGCGCAGGCACAAATTCACATGGGAAAAACTGCACAGGCGCATCCCCCAACCTGTCTTCTTACTGTCACCACCACCATTAGAAATACCCTGTACCTCAGTGTGGGGTAAGAAATAACCTGTACCTCACAGTTCTCTGAGTTCAAGACCACCCTGGTCTACAGGGCGGGTTTCAAGACACACAGAGAAACCCTGTCTCAAAAAAAATCAAGGAAAAAAGAAAAAGAGTGAGCCTGTACCTCGGTGCAAAGCTAGAAATAGCAAGCTCAGAATGCTTACAAGTGAAATTGGTTTAACGAAAACGCACTTGCTCTTACTATGTGTGATACATGATGACATTTTCTGGTTTCTCACGTCTTTGACACCCTCCCTGCGGAAATATATGTAGGTGCGCTGATTCCTTACCCCGGAGCTTCATGAAGCGGCTTTCCCGGGGTAGAGCGCTCAGCTGTTTGCTTTGAGACTGGGAGTCTCTCTCTTTTGGCTTCCATTTGGCGTCCATGCGTTTTCTTCACTTTCAGGAACCTGTCTCAGCTTGTGACAGTGCCCAGACGCTCAGATCACACATCCATCCTCTTGGCAAGCAGCTGTTGGAGCCACCAAACTCAGCCGCAGGGACTAACATTCTACATTCCACTTTTGCCATGGAAACGTCTGTGAGGTCTCCAGATAGGCCCCTCCTCATTCCAGAAGGCGTCCTGTGTGTGGCTTCCCACTGAGCAGGTAGAGATCAGGACCGCTGCAGATCTGGCTGGAACCTGGAGCCTTCGCATGCTCCTAAACCCCCTTTGCGTCTGTAATACTAATGCTGTCCTCTAAATTGATTTTCAGGGCTTATGTATTATGACCCACAGTCTGACAAAGCACCTCCCAAGATAGTCTCTCACATGATGTCTCAGGAAATACGTGAAAAACATTCATGACAACCATTTATCGTAATAGAAAGCAATGTGGGGTCAGCAAGTGCCTGCTTTCTGGAGAAGGGGTAGCTAAATATTCACAGCTGAAGAGTACAGGGAAGTGAAGAGCTCATGAGCTGCACATAACTGTAACATGGGTAGATATTGAAATTATGGGCACGTATAAGCGATTTGTAAAAGAACAAACAATATACTCCCTCATAACACTCAAAAATAATAAAAGTGAAGTGTTTAGGAAAATGTGCACGAGTCATACAGCTACTTTTCAAACATCAAAGAAAATGTAAAATTAAATCCCAGGGCACTGGCTTATCCTCTCGGGAGACAAGGCTAGATGAGAAGATAGTTTCAATAATGTTTTTAAATATTTAACATTCATACGTGTATGCATATAATGTGCTTAGAGCAAATCCAGCCCCCAAGTGTCTTACCTTGTTCTTCTCTCTAACTTGAATACTGACCTCACCAGTGTTTATCATTTATTCCTCAGGATCTGCAATCATATTTTCCTTATTTAGTATTCTTCCACAGTCTAACCCCACCCTCCCCCATCCTTCCCCAGCCCCCTTGTCCCTGCATGAAAGAACCTGAGACCTGATTCAAACCAAGACTGTCACTTACATGCCAACATCAGCCAGTCTAAAGGAGAATGGCTGGGCATATTTGTCTACCAGGGTGGTGAATCCCTAACGGCAGCCTCAAAAGGGGCAATGCACCCCTTCGCTACTAAGCGAGGCCTCTCCGCTCTTCCCCATCCTGCGTCCTTCCTCTCTAAAGCAGAGAGCCAAATGCCAACATTCTATGTACCAGGGCTTTTCTTTGGGACCACGAACCAGCTCCCAAATCAGGACACAGAGACTTATTATTAGTTATGAATGCTCAACCTAGCTTAGGCATGTTTCTGGCTAGCTCTTATAACCTAAATTAACCTGTTTCTCTTTATCTACCTTTAGCCTCTGGGCTTATTACCTTTCTTACACCTGTATATCTCACTTTCACTGCTTCTCTATGTCTGGCTGGCATCTGCCTGGCTCCTTGCTCTGGGTGTATTCCTCATTCTCTCCTTGTTCTTCCCTTTTCACTCTTTTTTAACCTAGATTTCTCTTCCTATTTATTCTCTCTGCCTACTAGCCCCACCTATCCTTTCTCTGCCTAGCTCTTGACCGTTCAGCTTTTTGTTAGAACAATCAGGTGCCTTAGGCAGGCAAGGTAAAACAAATACAACATATCTTTACAAAATTAAACAAATGATGTGGGATGTCCTTCTGTATGTGTGTTGCTTTTATTGGATGATGAATAAAACTGTTTCAGTCAATGGCTTAGCAGAGTAAGGCCAGGTGGAAAATCAGAGATATGTAGAGAGAGTAGGTGGAGTCAAAGAGACGCCATGTAGCTGCTGATGGAAAAAGATGTCAGAACATTACTGGTAAGTCACAGCCCCATGGTGATAAATAGGTTAATAGAAATGTGTCAATTTAAGGTATAAGAGCTAGCTTGAGTCATTGGCCAAATAGTGTTGTAATTAATATAGTTTCTGTGTGGTTATTTGGGTCTGGGCAGCTGAGAAATGAAAGCACAATCTCTATATACAAACAAATGCCGCATAAACAAAAGCAACAACACAGCTTTACACCCCAAAGTGCTATTCTGCAGCATAAACAAATGTGACACATCTTTGCCTAGTTAATAGATATTCCACACCAATCCAGTCTCTGCCTTCCTTCTGCCATGAGAACAGCTGCTCCGCCACACCTTCCCTGCTGTGATAGACTGAATGCTTTCTAGCCATACTCAAAGAAAAGTCCTTGTTTGTTTCCGTAGGGGTTTCTGTCACAGTGACACAAAGTAACCAGCACAGTAAGATGTGGCATCTGTATTTACAGGAGAAATCATCAGTGTCATTCCCAACTGTGTTACCTTGTGTCCTCTGAACACTGTTGCCATGATAAAACACCAGGACCAAGTTAACGCAAGAAGAGATTTTACTTGGCTTACAGTCCAAATGGACAAGTCTGTGATAGCAGAGAGGCAGCCTAAGGGATGGAGCTGCAAAATGAGAGTTCACATCCTCAAACAGCAGGTATGAAGTAGGGAGAATAACTGGAAATTGCACGATTTGATGGTGCAAGCCTTTAAACTCTCACAGACTGCCTCCAGTAACATTCTTTCTCCAACAAGGCCCTCCTGAGGACCATGTGTTCAAACACATGAGGCTAGAGGGGCATTCTTACTCAAATCAAAACACACACACACACGCATACACACACACACACACTTAACATTCAACTTTGTTGGAATCCCATGATATCTCTTTGTAGTTTTGTTGATGGCGTTAGCTATTGTTACAATTAGAATATACACTTACACTTTCAGGTTTATATAGTGACATAAATCATAAAAACTTTAAGCTATGTAAAATTCTTGACCTTTTCCCAAATGTCCTTTGTGTGGAGTGATCCTGTGTACAACAGATAACCCTACCAGACAATGCTGTAGTTTCGGGTCTAAATAGTTATATGTGTTTTAAAGAGTTTAATAAGATCCAATTTCTATTTGCTATTATTCTTTTATAAGGTGAAAAGGGCCAAGGAAAAACACCCTGATCCTGACTTGGCCCCAGGACCCAGGCTTTAAATCCCACCAATCCCTGAGCTTGCCCCAGAGTCAGGCTATAGAATCATAACAATCCCTGAGGATCCTGAGCTTGAAATGCCACCAGTCCCTAAACACATAAGGCCACCAATCCCTGAGCTTGGTCCAAAATCTGACTACAAAAATCCACCAGTCCCAAGCTGCCCTAGAAAGCTCCACCACCCCACCACCCCGCCTAAGAAACCCTATATAAGGTCTGTACCCTATTCAGTTTGCTTCTGTTTCTCAGTGGAGGCAGTCACCTTCCTAGATTCTTCTTTCCTGGTCACTCTCTTGGGTGAGGTTTGTTGTGGTATGACATTTTCACCAGAAACAGAGCCCAGCTGTAACACTTCTCTGGAGCAGAACAGAGCGGAGCTGTAACAATTTGGATGGGAAACCCCATCCATGGGCGCCTCTAATGTACCCACTTTCCTACCATTTACAGTGACTTTTCGGTTAGTTCTTATGGGCACTGGTTCTCTGCAGCCTTTCTTTCTCCAGTTGGATTTCTTGTTTTGATGTTTCTATGGGTCTCTTTGGAGTCATAGGACATCTTCCCTTGACTTGGTTCTCTGTAAATGTGTCACGTAGATCTGTATTGTGTCCTGAGCACAGTGTTTAGACCACATGCCCTGGGTTCTGTTCAAATCCCTTAGGGTACACTGATACCTGTATATCTGTGGTCCACTGGCCTGGTTAATCCCACATTGCCTCTGTGTCTGCTTCCACACTTGCATCTGCCCTGCACACATATGATTTTTACAAATTTCCCTTCTCTGTCTTTCCCTCCTCAGGTCTCTGGTCTTACCCAATATACACACTCCAGCTCACAGAATTCCCCTTACCAGAAAGACTCATGAGTTACTATTTGAGTTTTAGCCACCTGCATCACATGGTCATGTAGTAGAAGGCTGCTTGTTCATTTTTGGCTGTTCAGCCCCAAAATAACCATACAGAAACTGTATTAATTAAGTTACTATTTGACCTATTAGGTCTAGTTTTTAATTAGCTAGCTCTTATATCTTAATTTAACCCATTTTTATTAATCTGTGTATTGCCACGTGGCTGTGGCTTACTGGCAGGGTTTTGTCTGGCGTCTTTCCCTTCTGGCAGCAACATGGTCTTGACTCCACCTTCTTTCTCCCAGCATTTAGTTTAGTTTTTCCCGCCTAGCTTTATTCTGCTCTGTCACAGGCCAAGGAAGTTTCTTTATTAATTAACTATTGTACCTAGCATTGAGAAGAAAAGAAATAAACAAACAAACTAATTTCCCTAATTAGAAAGCAGAACAATGGGATACAGTCCCTGTGGGGCCCCAGGTTCTATGTCCCTATGTCCCTTCTACAATCTGTCACACACTTTTCAACTTGGTTTCCATGTTTTGTGCAGAGTTGTTATTGGTAATCGGTGAGGAGAACCACGTGTAATTCACACCACAGGACCCCTCAATTCTCCCATGACCCCGCTCTAGTCAACCTTTCCTTCTCACCACTCACCCAACCACACGCTACAGGACGATCAGGGATGCCCTCTGACCTTTCTCTGGCTGGATGAGCATCCCATGTATGTTTGTGGCTTCCTTCCCACTACTCTGACTGGTTTATGTTGGAGAGTCCCAGACAGAGCCTCTTTCCTGGTCTCCCACTCTGTAGATCATCTAGCCTGGGAACCCCCCTGCTGACATCACATGCAGAATTCTCTTCGGGACCCCAGGCAAGCCTATTCACAGGCCTGAGTAGCACCCACACTTAAAGAGATGGCTTGCACCCTCAGCCCTCTCCTCACTTGCTCCTCCTCCAGTTCCAATATTTTTCAATTGCCTCCACCTCCACATGGCCCAGCACTAGGAATAAAAGCCTACAGTTACCTTTGACTTTTTTCCCATTGCCATCAGACATGCCAGGACTTCGGCAACTCCATCTTCAAATATCCACAGTTCTTTGGTTTCTTTATTGTTTACCTCGGTTTGTTCCAGGCCACCCTGTGGACCACTGGATTATAGCCTGTCAGTTCGTCTGCTTCAGGCATGTTTTGTGACTGTATCTGGCCTTATTGTATTTTACTGGGACTTTACAAGTTGGAGCCTCTTGGCCACCCTGTGACTAAGCAAGTTTGTGCTATTTCTTCCAAAAGCAAGTGCTCCGAGGTTCTATGGCAGGACTCCCAATGTTTTAAATGTTGTAAGTTCTCAGTATTGTCATGCTTTGGTGATCCGAAATATCTCATGTTCCTGTTGCAGCCGTGTAGCAGAGAAGAACAGCCACCCCAGAGAGGGTGGTGGGTGTAACTGACAAACGTGTGTTATTCCACTCACCTTCGGCACCTCTGTTCTCCAAAGCCGTTATCGTGATGAGGCTAGTTAGCAACCCTACAAATAACTCTGTGCTCAAGTGTAGAAAGAGTCCCGTGTCAGACTGACAGTCATACATGGTTAGGCTTAGTGAGAGAGGTATGTCAAAAGTGAAGAAGGGCCTCAAGGTGCATCTCTTGAGTCAAACAGCCAAGTCATGAATGCAAAGAAAAAGACCTCAGAAGAAATTACAAGTCACATCCCAGTGAGCCCACAGATGCTATAAAAGCTTGGACGGTCTTGATAGAATATTAAAGCAACTGCCAAATTCTTTGAAGCCAAAGCTTCATCCAGAGTAGGTTTTCTTCAATTAAATAAAGGTAGAGAGAGCCAGTAAGACGGCTTGGTGTGTATAGGTGCTTGCCGCCAAGCCGCAGGACCTGAGCGCAATCTCTGGCGCTCACATGGTAGAAGGACAGAGCAGACTCTGTTGTCTGACCTTCATACACACATTGTTACATGCATGTGTCACCCCTACCGAATAAATACATGTAAAATTACTGTTAAGATCAC